CCCCCCCCCCCCCCCCCCACGCCCTCCCTGCAGGGGCATGCCAGTCCTAGATTCGGACAGCCTCCGGTATGCCATTTAGAGTTTAGGGTTTAGGGGTTAGAGAGAAGGGCTTGGGGATAGCAAAATTATTTCTGAGTGTTGCGAACTCGCACCACATGTCTTTGCACGCGCAGAAACAGGAAAGACATGGCCCTACACCCTGAACCCCACACTTTCTTAAACCCCCCCACAACATCAGCCCTAAACTCCAGAAACATCTAAAGACCCACAACTCAACCCTGGCACTACCTCCTAAGCCACACCGCCCCAAGACCCCACAGCCTTAAACCCAAACACTTCCCGCTAAGCCCTAAGCCCCAAATCTTAAAACCCCAAAACAGTAACCCTTCTGGCCTCCCTCAAATGAGGAACCCGAAAAGCTCTCCTAAAAGTCTTATAAAAGGGAGCCCTTAAATGATCCCTTCCATTATAGCTCCTTCAAAAGGAACCCTTACAGTTCAGGCCCTGAGCCCTATCGGGGAGGCCTTCACCCTGAGGAGCAGATTCATGACGGGGCCGACGAGGGCTGTTAGCACAAGGACCATGAAGCCTTGAGTGAGGCTCGTGGGTTTTGAGATTTGGAACTAAGGTTTATGGATTAATGGCTTTGGGATTAGAATTTAGGGTTTACGTGTTACATATATATATATACATACCCTGAAACTCCTAACCCCTAAACTGCGAAACCTTCTCACTCCGAAGCCCAAAACTCCACGCCCTCAACTCCACCCGAACCCTCAAATAATGACCCCTTGGAGGGTTCCATTACTATGAGTTTCTTTTTGCAAGTCCTGACAGAGGTACTTTCTTTATAGGATCCAGGTATGCCCCGAACACGAAGAGCCCTAAAAGCCATAAGCCCTGCTTGGAGGTTCATGGGTACCGTAGTTATAAGTAGGGTTATAAGTCCCCCTGATATGGGTTATAAGTGCAGTTATCCTACTTATGACCCTACTTAATCAATACCCATGAACCTCCAAGTAGAAACTTCCAGCTTCTGCCTCTGTTGCCCCGAAGGCCCTGAGGATTTCGAAGCCCTACCGGTAGCCGAAACACCTACCCTCTTTAGGGCTCCTTGCTATCGTCTCTACAAATATATAGTTCCTTGTTACCGTCTCTGCAAGTATAGAATTGCTTAAAAAAAGCTCGGTTTTTGGCTACAGGTAAAGATTCGAAGCCTAGGCTTGTGGATCTGTGGTTTAAAGTTTACGCGCCCATACATACATACATACATACATACATACATACATAAATACATACATACATACATACATACAGACGTAAATACATCCACTATGCAAGGACAGTTCCAGACACCCACCAGCTGAATTCCAAATCTGCCAAGCAGAAACGACTTCCAAAAACTAAACGACCCTAGCCCCCGAATTGGAAGCCTACCTACCTCCCGATCTTAAACAAAAACAACACAAACCCTAGACCCTAAACCCTAAACCCTAAACCAAGACAAGCGAACTTCGAGTTGCCTGCCGAGTAACCTACCTGCTCGGCGGAGGTGCCGGCTGCGAGGACACCTTCCCAGACAACCCCCCGGGGGTTGAGGGCTTAGGGTTTGGGGTCTAGAGCTTCACAGGGCTTAGGGTTCAGGGTGTGGGGTTTAGGTCTAGATAGGTGTGCTTGGGTAAGGGCCTCTTGATGGGTGCAATGGTGACTCTATGGGCGTTTGCTATCTTTTGGGTCAAGCTTGGTGGCTTCATGTGTGGGGCTCAGGGAGATTCGGGTTCGCAGCTCTGGGTCTTGGGATTCAACATTGAGGATTTAGGAACCAGGACCCTCCATGTACCCTCAAGGAGGGGTATAATTGGTCCCAGATAATTCGTGTTTAGGGTCAAATAGAGGGTAGATGGAGGGTTTGGGCAAGGAGCCGTTCTGACTGTGCTATTTTCAACAAATGTTGGCAACGTGGTGGGGCGGTCCGAGTTCATCGTTTTGCAGAACCCATGGCTGGTAGTGTGAGGTAACTATCCCAGGTATTCAGGAAGGGTTGCAGGCTGGTGGTTGGTTCAGGGAGGATCCTACCAACGAAATGATTCTGTAGTTGGGGAGAGGGCCATTGGGACTTATGTACGAGTTTCGCTATTTTAGTAGGGTCTAGGACCTGGACGCATGACGAGTACGCGACTACACCTTGCCCGCCCCCGGCTTCTGAATGATCATGGAATCCCTTAATACCTTCAGCTCCTTATTACTGAGCCCCTTTTTTTGGGATGCTTTGTTGGTGCCGTGCTTCTCTCCGAGAAGGTAACCTGCAGGCGGGGAAGCCCTGCTGCTAGCAAGGCTCTGATTATGCCGTCAGCCATAAGTACAGTTCGAAGAGCCCAGCTTTTGTCATGCTGCCCTAATGTAGGGGCCTTACTAATTAGAATAGGGTTTTGGGGTATATTATTCTCATGCCGAAGAAGTCCCAGCACCACACAACCCAACTACAAGTAGCAAAAAGAGAATGATCTTCTGGAAAGCGAGGCTGTCGAATCTCAAGTTCGGATGCTCGGCCACTTTGGCAAGCATCTCGTGGTTTCTCCAGTGGCCCAGCGGCCGATTCTCCAGGGCGAACACCTGGAAGACCTTGTCGTTCAGAGGGCTCAGCACTTTCTTGCTGAGCTGGGCCACCTCCAGGATGAACTGCCGGCTCTGCAGCACCGAAAACGACGCAACCTCTTCGAGGCCTCACCATCGTCTCCCGGTAGGCTTCGTGCTTGGGCCGTGCCCTTGGACTTCCGCTCGTCGGCGTCTTCGTTAAAGCGGCTGCTGTAGAGCTTGGCCCGCAAGTTGATCTGCTCCCAGACCCGCCGCGGCAGGTGCTCCACACCGAAGCCGGCCAAGTCTATTGGTCGCCACACATCGGGTTCTAAGTGCCCTCATTGGCGTCAGAACAAATTGCGTCCTATAAGCCTACCTACAGGCCCCATTGTAGTCCTTTTTGGACGGCTCATATTTAGGATCCTATAAGGTAATCCCAAAACGGAATTACATGGGAGCCTATACCCCTCACAACTGAGGCCCAAACCTTACCCTAGACTCTGACCCTGCACGTACCCTCAAATAGGGGTGTATGGTCCCCAAATACTGGGTATGTAGGGTCTAGAGGGTAGATGGAGGGGTTTTGGTAGAATCTGACCTTACTTGTCTCCCTACTGAACAAACCCGAGCAGGACGAAAGTTCGCCACACGGTCTGTAACTGTAACTCAACATAAAAGGCACTGGAACCCCCTTTGCCGATCCCAAAGGCTCTCCGTCGAGTTTAGGGTTTAGGGTTTAAATTTAGGGTTTAGGGTTTAGGGTTTAGGGCTGTTCCAGGAAATTAACAACTCGGCCATGCCGGCCACGAATAAACCGAGCCTGCGGCCTCTCCGCCTCGCCACGGCATAGGTTCATGGCGTACTGAGCATATCTCTGTATGCCGAAACTTGTGTCCCAGCGATGTATGTAAGTCAGTAATTACTGTAGTATGGGAATATTAGGTACTTGGACACCGGGGCAAAGCAGCCAAGAACCCTTCACTTATTGACCACAAACACTCAGCCCTAAAACCCTAGGCACCAAAACCCAGAACCTAAACCGCAAACCCGAACTCCGTACGCCCCAAAGATGACAAAGCCGAACGCTCTAACCCCAAGACTCTCAACCCTACACTCTAAAACCCTAAAGCCAGGTGAAACTCGAAAACCTCTAAACCCGGTAAACTGCCACTGAAGACACCCCAACTCCTGAAAGCCGCTACAAGCACTACAGACTGCCTCCTGCTGCTGCCAAGGCATAGAGGAGAATGCCAGCTCCCAGGGCCTAAGAGAATCTAAGGTTTAGGGTTTTTGGCTTTAGGGTTTAGGGTTTAGGGTTTTGGGGTGTAGGGTTTAGGGTAATAATAATGATGATGACAACAGCAAATGATAAAAACAAGAAATAGACACCATAATAAACAGTAACTGCAGTTATGCTATTACGAATAAAGATAACAACACACCGTGATAACAATAATGATACTAGTAAATATGACTCTAATGCTGACAAGAACCTTATGATGATTATGTGAATATTTGTAATAATGGTGACCACTATAACAAGACTTTAATAATAGCAACAGACATAGTAGAAGTAGTACGCATGAAACTCAGGCGTAAACCCCAAATCTTCTCCAAAGCTCCCTAGGTAGCTTAATCACGGCCTCATGGTCCGTAAAAGTGAATGTCCGGCGGAGCTGGGGTTTCGAGGTGAAGCGTTGACGCCCTAAACCTTGCGGACTCAGCGTTGAGGTTGTAGCTATTACCGAGCTTGGCCCAAAGCCGGACTCCCAAGAGCATGGACAAGCTGCAAAGACAAGTCTGCACCGCAAAGCACGCATTCAGGGTGAACAGGGCAGAAGCCGGACAGAGATCTCTCTAATTTGTGGTAACACCTGACGAAGGAATGGTTTGTAATATGGTGCTTGCGTCTTTCCTCCGCGGACGAGAAACCTGAGACTGTCGGCTAGCCAAGTGCAAACGAGGAGCATAGTCCATGGATTTCACCGACGGCGTGTTGCGAATGCACTGCCCATTCAACAAGTAGGCTTCGCTCAGCTGGATCTGACACGTCGACCTCATACCAAAGATGTACGGATTTCGGATGCACGTAGCAAGGTTCCCCTCAAGGGATAGAGAAGTTGCGGCTAAGGTCTTAGGGTCAGAGTTCTGGGTTCAAGTTTCAGCTTACCACCTGCAGGTTGTATTCATGCACTCACGAATATCCCTGTACACTCACCAAGCCCTAGGAAAGAACTTTACATAAACCCTAACCCCTCATAACACCCGGACGACGCCATATCATCCGCATAGTAGGCCCTCAATCCTCAACTATTCAACTACGGGGTTACGGGCTGCTCGCGCGACTTCACAAGTGACGGGGCCATGAACCCTGACGTCCTCAACCCTAACATTGGAATAGGGTTTGGGGTTTAGGGTTTAGGGTTTTGGGTTTTGGGTTTAGGGTTTAGGGTTTTGGGTTTAGGGTTTGGGGTTTAGGGTTTAGGGTTTAAAGGGAATGGGGTTTGGGGGTTATGAATGCATAGGAGCTGTCAGGGGCTACCTTGCCCACGCCTCTAAACCCTACGCCCCAAAACACCAAAGGCTAAAAAAAAAACCGAAAACCCAAAACCCCAAGACCCCAGACCCCCGAAAACCCTAAATCCCCCCCGCTTAAACCGTAACCCCCTGGACCCCTGAACACAAAAATACCGAAATCCCGAAACCCTGAGACCCAAAGACTCCTACCTACACACGTATGGTCCGTAAAGGAAACCCTAACCCCCAACGGAACCCTTATAGCAACCCCTATAGAAACCTTTAAAGGACCCCTATAGTAATCTAAAGGAACCCTTGTAGTAACCCCTATAGTAACCTTGAAAGGAACCCTTGTAGTAACCCCTAAAGTGACCCCCAAAGGAGCCCGTAAAGGAAACCTTAAACCCTAAACCCCAAAACCCTAAACCCTTAAACCCTACCCCCTTAAACCCTAAACCCTAAACCCCAAAACCCAAAACCCTTAAACCCTAAACCCCCAAAACCCTTAAACTCTAAACCCCCCAAACCCTTAAACCCTAAACCCTAAAACCCCTAAACCCCCAAAGTCCTTAAGCCCTAAACCCAAAACCCCCAAAACCTTAAACCCTAAACCCCTTAAAACCCTTAAAACCTAAACCCCCTAAACCCCCAAAACCCTAAAACCCCCAAAACCTTAAATCCCCAAACCCCCAAAACCCTAAACCCTAAACCCCCAAAACCCTACAAACCCCAAAACCCTAAACCCCCAAAACCCTAAACCCCCAAAACCCTAAAACACCCCCAAACCCTAAACCCCCCAAACCCTAAACCCCTAAAACCCCTATAAGCCCTTAAATCCGAGGAGCTGAAAGGAGCGCCAGACGGCGAGGCCACTGAGGAGCCCGGCAGAGGCGACGAGCCTCGGGACTTCGAAAGAACCCCTCTATTTAGGGTTCAGGGTTTAAGGTTTTGGGTTTAGGGTTTAGGGGTTTAGGCTTTAGGGTTTAGTAGGGTTCAGCAGGGTTTAGGAGGGTTTAGTAGTTTAGGTTGGGTACTGCCCCGATACAGTAACAGTCTATAATGCGGCTACTATTAAGGGCCTTCTATATCCATATTGTGAATACCACTCAACTGTTACTGAGTGGGGGCAGTATCCAAGGTTTGGGGTTTATAAGGGAACTTAAAATGTTCCTCTAAGGGAACTTGTAAGGGCTCTTATCAGGGTATCATCGGGGGTTTGGAGTCTTTTAGATGTTTTTTCAGAACTGTGGGACTTAGGGTCTTGGGGAGGGGGGGGGGGGAAATGTTCGAGGTT